CATCTAACTATTCGTACATTTCAGGGCTATGGGTGTCCCAACCTCTCCATTACTGCCAACGCCATTGCTACTGCAGAAGTTGCAAGAGTTGATGCTAGCTGTTCTACTTTCATTTTGGTGCACTCTTCTTTAGCAATGCTCACAATTGGTACGCGTTGATCTTGTTGTATCACTTGCCGCCGTTTTTTTACTTCAAGCTAGTTGGTTACCCTTTTTCAGGTAACTGAACATTAATAGGTCATGATTATCTTATTTTGATCTGTTGGTTTGTCAAGGACAGCACTGTGTGGATCAGAAGTACAAAAGCAGAAATATTTACCGTCTCTTGCAGAACTTAAAACCATAGCTTGTTGGGTAAGAACATTGATTTGATGTATGACACCAGAGTCCTGAATAATATCTACATATATTTGCCATGTTAAGTGTATATATACTGTAGGCTCTGACAGAACCTGATTATGGAAGTGATGCAAGCGCTTTGAGAACAACTGCAAGGAAGGTCCAGATTATAAATTTTACTATTCAACCTTTTTATCTGTTAACGTATATGTGTGCCTGTAATTTCTCTCTCTTCTTTTTCAATCAATTCTTCTTCTTTACATTGACCATCAGGTTGAAGGAGGTTGGATACTTGAAGGCCAAAAGCGCTGGATAGGAAACAGCACTTTTGCAGATGTATTGGTTATTTTTGCTAGAAATACCTCCTCAAATCAGATAAATGGGTAAGTCGAGAACATATCATTTGAGTGCCAGTATCGCTCTAAGCACAGTAGACACACAATGTCACGAAAGCTTCCTTTATGACAATTACCCTCATTTGGGGTGTTCTATCTTAAATTTTCTAATGGTTGGGTTTTCTTTTGAACTATATCGTGTGTGTTCCCATTTTGTGAGCATCGTCATACTCATGTAAGTGATTATTAGTTTTGTGCTGAAAAGTTGTTTCAAACATTTTACGTGTTCAATCGATATCTTTTCGCCTTCCTATGTTTTATTTATGGGTAATTAGCACATAACGTCTCCACCTTTTATTGTTATTGTGGAAAACGTTCATGCCTTTTATTTTTGACATTTTCACCCTGATTTCCACATTTCATTGCGCAAAATGTCATTTTCACATATTTTCTCAATTAAAAATTATAAAATGACAAATATACTCTTTTAAATAAAACAAAAAGAAAAAGAAAAAAACTAATTGCAATCACGGTCCCAAATTTTTTTTAAAAGCGCAAATAAGTTACAAATAAATTATTAAAAGGATAATTAGTACATAATGTCCCTACCTTTCACCGTTATTGCGAAAAAGGTCAATACCTTTCATTTTTTTTAGACATTTTCACCCTTAATTACACATTTGATTGTGTAAACCATCATTTCCCTCCAATTTTTCAATAAAAAATTGTGAAATAATGAATATACCCTCATATTTAAATAAAAAAATATATTTTTTAATTTATAATTCTTTAGTAATTTATTTGGGACTCGTTTGCATTTTTTAAATTTTTTTTAATTTTTAAATAAATTTAATTAGGACTCGTTTTTAAATAATTTATTGGGGACTTGTTTGCACTTTTTTAAAAAAATTGGGACTATGATTGCAATTATTTTTTTAGCTTTTTATTTAAATAGGAGGTTATATTCGTTATTTCACAGCTTTTTATTGAGAATTTGGATGAAAATGGATAGAAATTGTGGTTTGCGCAATCAAATATGTAATTAAGGGTGAAAATGCCAAAAAATTGAAAGTTAGGGACGTTTTTCGCAATAACGGTGAAAGATAGGGATATTATGTACTAATTACTTTTTTAATAATTTATTTGCAACTTATTTGAGCTTTTTAAAAAAATTCGAGACTGTGGTTGCAATTAGTTTTTTTATTTTTGTTTTTGTTTTATTTAAAGAGGGGTATATTCGTCATTTCATAATTTTTAATTGAGAAAATAGGTGAAAATAACCTTTTGCTCAATGAAATGTGAAAATAAGGATGAAAATACCAAAAAATAAAATGTAGAGACGTTTTCCACAATTTCATAATTTATAATTGAGAAAATAGGTGAAAATGACCTTTTACGCAATGAAATATGAAAATAAAGGTGAAAATACCAAAAAATAAAAGGTAGAGACATTTTCCACAATAACAATGAAAGGTGAGGACGTTATGTGCTAATTATGCTTTTATTTATCATTAAACATTGAATGCAGCGTGCTCTTTAATATGCTTTCTATCACATCCAACATCTCTAATAACTGATGTGCCTCTACTACAGATTCATAGTAAAGAAGGATGCTCCTGGTTTACAAGCTACAAAAATAGATAACAAGATTGGCCTAAGAATGGTTCAAAATGGGGATATTCTCTTAAAGAGAGTTTTTGTCCATGACGATGACAGGCTGCCCGGTGTCAATTCTTTTCAGGACACTAACAAGGTACAGAATCAGGGTGCTTCTTTCTGTCAATTGTTTGGTTGTGTGTGCCAGATAGATGAGATTTGGCGTTTCGTATTTTATCTCTTAGAGAAACATTTGAATGTTTTCTGAACTTATTATTAGTCTAGAAGGAGGTTTCAAAAATGAAACCGTATCCCCTTTCCATCCACTTTCACAACTTATCATATGAATGTTTGATGAGAAAAGAAAAGAAAAAATCTATGCAATTCTTACTCTCTTTAGTAGCTTGGTGGGTCTATCTGCAAGACTTTCGCACCATCTCTCTTGAATCTCTGCAATGACTCCTTACTGTAGCCCAAAGTTTTCCAATCCATGTAAAAGCTATATTTCATTAGGAGTTTCACCCATAAGCGATTTGGCATCTCCTCTCTGGGCTGCTTCCTGCACTTTCCTCAATTTTATTTACTGGGTCTTCATTAAAATGCCCTTTCTGTTTGATATCATCACCTCACTCCATGATTGAATTTGACAAACATTTACCTTTACCTGGAGATAGGTACTTGCCGTTTCACGCGTCATGGTTGCCTGGCAGCCTATTGGCATTTCAATGGGTGTTTATGATATGTGTCACAGGTACTAATCTCTTCTATTTTTATATAATCAGCGAAACGATGTTTGTTCCTCATGCCCTTTTCTGCATTAATCAAGTTATAGGTTATGCATTCGTTGCTGATTATGAAGAGATGTGATTATGTATCTAATAACAGCAATTACTGTGGTTATATTTTTCCTGTCAACTCCATTCTAGACTGCTCCGGTTCAGAAGAGGTAATTCCTCCACTTG